TGCAGAGGATCTAAGGCTTAGTTTCTAAGCAAAGGGGGAGAAAGCTCCTCTCTGCAGACTTCAATTCTCCCAAAATTTCCAAGGAAATGTCAAATGTATATGCATGCCATGGATAGCTCTGCTTCATTGTTCAAGCTCTGGAGTTGCTGCAGCAGCAGCCCAAATCTCCTGTATAGGATTATATGTTGCCTGCCTATGTAGGACAGACATTTGTATTACAATATTTAATAAAATCTATCTTTCTGGGATGGTCCAGAAACCAAAAATAAGTAATCAGATGTATATCGCACTGGAAAAGTATGAAGCTGGGCTAACAGCCTGGATGGAATAGCTCTCTCATCTATGTAGAGGAAAGATTCCAGTCTGTCTATTACCAAATGATATGTTTCTGCTTAAATAACATTTATTTCCATGCTTTTTTTTTTTTTGCTTGCCTCTGCTTTCAGTATATGTTTCAGAATTTATTTTGTATAACTGTTTTAAGGCTGTATTGTGTTTCAGGTTGTTAATAAACATATCTGTTAACATAACAAAATAATTTACAAAGAAAAATTAAAGACATTTAACCCATTAATTTGAATACATGGCTTTGTTGAATGGTATTAGTCTACTTTCCTTCCCTCTTCCTCATCTTTAGTCAAAAAGATTCCCAGAGTTATTGACATAAGATCCATAAGAAATGAGGCAGTCTCCCTTCCTCAAGCTTACAATCTCAAGAGTCCCACCCAAAAGAAAGCAGGACAAAAAAAGAACACGTACATTTATGCCATTATCAATAGTCTATTTTGATCAATACATTCTGTTTAAAATTATCAGTTGCAATGGAATATACAGATGCATTCCAAATGTTGCATGGATAATCAAACAGTTATCTAGGGATATTCTGTTCATTTACAGCCATGAAATCCACATATCTCAGAGGTGTTCTCCATTTCCTGATGGATGAGGAAAGGAGGAGATGGGCTTGACTTGGGAATATCCCAAACAGATAGAAATAGAAAGTGGGGAAACCAGAGTATCACTTGGGGGGCAGGTGGTGGGATTAGCCTAGAAAGGGTAAGAAGGTTAAGGAGAACAGCAAAAGAGAGGCCTGCAGGATGACCCAACCAAGGGCAGAAGAGACAGGAGATAAAAGATAAAGGGTGTGAAGAGCTGTGTGTGGATAGAGTTAGAAGGAATTAATCTTGAATGAAAAGGAGATTGGGTTATATTTTACAGTTCCAAGGATTGATGATGGGTATCTTCGAACAGTCATCATTAAAGTCATTCAGGTTTTGAAAGCATTAACCTGGCTGGAATAAGCAGATTTCAATTGAAAGGCTGAACAGGAATCCATGCCTGGGTAACAGTTTTAGCAGACTGACAACATTAATTTTGTACGGCAAAACCATCAGAGTCTACTGCTGTAATAGTTTCTCATAGAAGCTTTCATAGATGTTGTTTGTTCGTTCATCAGATGGATGGAGTATAGTTCTGGGAAAGGCATATTGCATATAAACAGAGTTGGGGAGAGAGCGAAAGGAATGAAAAATAGCAAAGGAAAAGCGAGAGACTGTCAGCCCTTTGAGGTAATCCAGATCAGGAAACAGATTCCTCAAGCATACTAGAACTAAACTTTATTGAGGTAGAATCTTGCAAATCTGATTGGGGTTTTCCTCCTTTCCTTATTATACCCCAGTGAATCAGGGAAGAGCCAGTTCAAGTCTTTTCCTAATATTTTTCTCAATTTCCAGGGTTTAAGGAATGCTTCTGCCCTTTTTGTTTTTTGTAACGGTTTCTGAATATTTCTTTCAAGGCCATCTTCATGACAAAATTATCATGAATAATGATAATTATCCACAGTGTTGCTAAGTATTCTTGTTCAGATGATCTGATTAATCCACCTACCATAATAGGAACCTGTTTAATTCGTGATCAATTGTGTTCTGGGTCGATGCACAAAGTCCTTGTGATGTCACACTGCAAAATCTGGCCCTTCATATTTGGATCCTGATGCCAGCCCAAAGTACATAAGCTACAAACGAAGTGCATAAGCCACATCGTTTGTTTCGCAAGGCATTAATTTTTTTTTTATTTTATTTATATGCCGCCCTTCTCCGGAGACTCAGGGCGGCTTACAAGGTGTTAAGCAATAGCCTTCATACTTTTGTATATTTTATACAAAGTCAGTTTATTGCCCCCACAAACCGGGTCATTTTACCTACCTTAGAAAGGCTGAGTCAACCTTGAACCTGGTGAGAATTGAACTCGCAGTAATTGCAGGCAGCTGGAAGCTAAATACTACCTTTAACAGTAGCATTAGTCTGCTGCGCCACTCACCCATTCCCCCTTATGGATGCCTTTGTTTGCTTTATAAATTTTCTAGGTTATATGTCTGAGATATAAGACGTATTAAAGATACTTTTTTTTCCAAGTAGAAATCAATGGTGAAACCTTAAGTTAAATTGTAGCTGGACTTAGATGGAATGTGCACTAGATACAAAGCCAAATTCAGCATTTTACTGTATATCTGGATAACGAGATGCAGCTATTTCTATTATGAAAACTCAAATTTCTACACTGCTCTTCAGCACCCTCTATTGTGAAAAATTCAAATTTATTGAGAATGAGAAAATCTTTAAGAAATATTACATAGACTAAACTGTTACATCAACAAATGTCTGCACTTTCCAATTCCTTCGGCAGAGTTTACAAAAAATACACCCCAAACAAAATCAATTAAAATATACATTTTTAAAATAGTTTGAAAAATTTTATTTTAAGCTTCTTGTTGACGAGGACTGCTTTGATGATAGTCAGCAATATTTTCAAAAATAGAGCTCCTACCAACGGGGAGAAAACAGGATTGTGGATATCCATGTTACTGCCCCTTTCGTTATCTAAAAGATAAGGGAAACCTAAGTTAATTCATCAAAACCTTCTGGGTTTCTACAGAAACAATTAAAAGCAGAAATATTTGTCTGGCACAGAGAGTGCTGTTGTGATTTTTTTTTTTAAATTGAGACTATACCTCCAGAATTGTTTTCCCACCCTCATTTACAGAACTGGTAAATGGCATTATCCCCATGCTAGATTAAAGTCTAGGACTACTGTCAAATCTTCTGCTACCTTCCAGTCCCTTCATAGCCATTTGCCTGCCATTTGAGATATCCGTAACTTCTCCTCCCTTTGTGCTGAGAACTGTTTTTATTAGTTGGAGTATCTGGATGCCACAGCCTCCTCCTCCTCATGCCCTAACTAAATTATTCTCCAAGCCACTACTGCAAGAGCTTTGCCACCTATGCCATGCTGAGTCCACCTGAAAAGAAAGGCTACGTAGAGCATAACAAAATTAGGATAATACATGGTGCAGGTACAGCCAGTGAAGGCCACCTCTAGCTTCACATCATTCCCTCTATAATTTTGCACAACCGATTACGCTGAAAATGGGTAATATTTGCTAAAATGATTTCCCAAGAACTGCAAGTGAAACCAATTATTTTTGCAGAGCTGTTTTCTTCTCCATGTATTTATTATTAATGGTTCTATTTTTAATTCTATGTTTGGCCAATTACTTGCAGAATAACTGCACTGAGTTCAGCTAAAATGTATGACTCACTTGAGCTTTTCCCCTGGAGATGATAAATGGAAGTACAAATATTTTTATCATCTCCTTTCTTTCCATAAAATAAGATTTATATTGTCCTGTTCCACTACTTGTTTATTGGGGGGGGGCATTTGTTCATTGTCATTTTCTCTAATTTATTTGCACAGGACTTTCCTCTGCCCAAATTCCTTGAAAGACATAACAAACCTTTCCAAAAATTATACTACTCCTTAGGAGGGAGGGAGGGGGTATAATTTCTAAGAAATAGTTCTAAGCAGCAAAATGTTTTCAGGAAAAAAAAAACCCAAGAAAGTCCAGTTGCCTTCTAGAAAAACACCTTTGAGAAAAGCATGACCTGGATAATTGAGAATCTCCATAGATGGTTGCCCTTTTCTTAATGATCAAATTGAAAGACCAAAAGAAGCATCTGGAAAAATGGGTTTGGAGGTTTCCAATTCCTAATCTGCAGTTTAATGGTTATAATTAAATTTTTATTATAATAAACTTCTTGCATAGATTTGCATCAAGCACAAATGCAAGGAATCTCCTTGAACTTTGCACTAAGGCAAAGGAAAGGAAGAGAAAGGCAGGATTATTTCTTGCTGTTTAGCAAACAACTGTGATAAATTTCAGTGGATATTGCATATTGAAATTTCTATAGCAAAAATGTAATCACTTTCTGAACTTCCCTGATGGGTTGATAGTTTGGAGGAATCAATGCCAGCTGCTAAACCAGTTACTTTTTTTTTTTTAAAGGAACTGAAGAAAGTGAATTTCAGGTTTTGGAATAATGTGCTTGAGTAGTCTTAAAGAATATTAAATTAGCATGTTTGAGCTTAAGCAGAAGTTAACATAATAAAATGTTTCATGTACTTTTTTTTTTCTTCAAAAAGCAAAATGGAGCAAATAATAGTGATGGGACTCAATAGTTGGGTTATCATACATAAAGTGAACCACTGGGGGAGTCAAACACCATAAGATTTTCAATCAAGTTTCTTAAGTCATTTGTTTCTGGTTCCTGGTTGTGTGCCTAATTCAGACTTTGGATGAGGTTTGAATGATTCTAATTAAAACCTGTGGCCAAATACCATATAAACCATTGGCTCAAACTAATCTTGAATCCAAGTGTCTGGCTCTTTTGACTCTTCAAAACAAATTCCAGATTCCTTGGTGGAGACTACTTGGTGTCACCCTAAGGTATACTGGATCTATTCATTCCTGTGGGGACTTGTTCAGGCCAAAGCATTTTTTAAACATTGTGCCAATTAGTTTGCTGCTTAGTGGTTCATGTATTTTATATTTGGGAATCACTCCTCCTACCTGTATCATCTCTTTGCCTCCCCCATTTCAGATGGAATAGGTGATCTAGAGAAATTCCTACCCCAATTCATATTTTAAAGAAATAGGCAAGGTGTTCATCAAATGCTTTTATTTCAAGGACCAATACTTTCCCCATGTCCTCCTTTCAGGAGAAAAGTGATTCAGGCAAATCCCTATATCTAGCTGCCTTTTGCCTTCATGCTTGCTATCATATCATGCACCTTCTTGTTCAAGGCTCCTCCATGGACCCCCTTTTTGCCCATGAGAAAGATAAGAGCTTTGGAAGATTTCCCAATGCAGATGGACCTACTGTCACCACCTTTGGTTCTGGTGTCCATGACAGCATCTTTTTCTACTAGCAAGTTGTCACGGATCACACTGCACTTTTTTCCAGCAATGGTGATCCCAGTTTGTAGGAAAGATTTTCTATCCTGCCCAGTGATCAGCCCAACTTCCTGAGGAGAAATGGCTGCCAACAGACCTCCTGGTTTAGATGCCCATACAGACTTATTGTCAGAATGTCCAACAATTGCTACATCTTCAATATTCTTGTCTTTCAGGACTGTATTGATGTAAGCTTTCCAGTCTCCCATGCTGCTTCAGCTCTTGTGGCTTCTTTAACAAGCACTTCTCCTTTGGGTCTCAGGATGTGGGATATTTTTTTCCGATTAATCCTAAAAACAAAATCTAGTTGTATTTTTAAAAATCCATCTGCTTTCCCCCACGGTATCCCAGCTGTGCTCCTATAATTTCAAGTGATGTCAGTAAACCTTCCAAAATATCATTTTGGAGCAACAAAATTACTTCCATATTTTTTCCTCATAATCAGGTTTTAATTTCTCGAGAACCTCAAATGGTTGATTTCGCTCTTTTAAAAAAATCAAAATTCAATAGCAAGAAGCACCCCCATCCCAAGAGAACATTTTGCCCCTGCTTACTATAAAAGTGTAGCTCCTGAAGGATCCTTTCTTTAAAAAATACAGCATCCCACCCACTCTTAAAAACATCTCTCTATCCATAAAGTTATATATACTATCTTCATCAAACCAGATTTCAAACGATTTACAGGAATGTAATAGAATCACTGCAAACTGTTTTCCTTCACAATTTTCATTAAGGCATAAAATAGCACGCACAAAGTTTAAAATTCGAATCATTAAAACAATTCTATCACAGCAATGCCTGTAGATAAAACAGGTGAAAGAGCTGTATTGTCATAAGGGTGATAATCATGGAATTAAATTAGAAACATCCTGGATAAAATCCCCACTCAACTATGAAATGTGCAGCTTAGGTTGTCTTGCAGGCTTATAAAGCTTGAACAGATGAAAAAGTTAATTCCTAAAAGAAAGATGAAATGTAGATACAATAAATCAGGGCTCCATTCCTTTTTTTATGTCTCCCAGAGCCCATTTGGTAACCAGCACAACAGTAGAAAGTAAGCTGCTCATATTTTTATTTAGTACTATCATACAATTCCAATTATACGTCCTGTAGACCAGCTGGGAAGTTACCAAAATAGTTATTTCTGTATAGAAATAGTGGGTGAATCAGCATAGCTACTAAAAGTATTTTCTATGTCACAACCATCATCATTTGGAGTCCTAAAAATAACTATAACGAGAAAGTCAATCTTTTCATCTGGGGATGCCTCGTAAAGAACTAGCCAGTTATTGTCTCCCCAAACAAAGGAAAAACTTACTTGAAATACTTCTAAAGGTAACATTAGCTTGAGGAGTTCCACCAGTTGGGATGAAAGGACTTGAAAAAGATGCTTTTTGGAAAGCTGAAACCTCAAATTCCAGCTCAGGAGACTGGGTTCATGGAGAGCTGGAAATAATCTTCTGGGCACTTGAAATCTCAGGTGTCAAAAAGACAAGCAGAGATAATACCCACCTAGCTAGCCAAAGGCACTCTGAGCTCACAAGGCAATTATTGTTGTATTTATGCTTCAATTGTTGCTAAGGCCTCCTTTGTGATGTCACAAGAATTTTCCCCACTGCAGGCAACCCTTTATGACCTCATTTTATTTATTTATTTTATTTATTATTTATTTTATTATATTTCTATACCGCCCTTCTCCTGCGGGACTCAGGGCGGTGTACAGCCAGGATAAAACATAGTATATAAAATTTAAAAACATTTTAAAAACAATTAAATAATTTTGGCCCGAATTTAAAACAACCCAATTAAAACCGAATTTCGATTAAAAAACTAAGAGGATGGGATCAAGCCAGCCCAGCTAGATGGAACAAGTGTGTCTTCAGGGCCCGACGAAAAGTCCGGAGGTCTGATATCGTGTGTATCTCAGGAGGCAGGTCATTCCAGAGGGCAGGTGCTGCCACAGAGAAGGCTCTCCCCCTGGGGGTCGCCAGCCGGCACTTCCTGGCCGATGGCACCCTGAGGAGGCCCTCTCTGTGTGAGCGAACCGGTCGGTGGGAGGCTATCGGCGGCAGAAGGCGGTCTCGCAAATATCACCAAGGAAAGCAAGTGTCTTCTTCCTTCTTTCCAGCTGTCTTGAAAGGAACAAAAATATTTCTATTTTGCATTTCATTTTCCCGGGATGCATACAGTACTGTAGGAATGGAGAAACAGGCTTCAAGATTTCAAATGGCTGACTCAAGTCTTGGATGTAATCCCCATAGCCCTTCATTCAATTATTACTGAACTGTAATTTTTAATGCAGAATAGTTAAGTCATTTTAACAAATGGAAATAATCCTATTTATTGAATGTATCTGCATTTATGTTAATTACATTTTACATTTATTGATTTTTAATTAGATAGATTTTAAAATACTTTAATGGAAGCTGATCAAAACTTAATTGTAAGACAAATATCACCAATAATGGAAGGTTATATTTATGAAAGATTGTAGCTAAACGAGGCAGTTCATTTTCTTAGGTTATTTAAAATCATGCTACAATTGTGCAAGGTAACATTATGCAACATGAAATTACTCCTATGAATATATATTTTGAAATAAATCCTATTGAAATCAACTGGTTTTAAATAAACACTAATCCAAGGATAAATTCCATTAATTAAAAAACAAACAAACATTTGTGTGTGCTTGATCCCAAAAGCTCTTGGTGGCCAAAATAAATGAAATGAAACAAAACAAAATAAAATAAAATTACATAAGGAAGGAAGGAAAGACCCACATACATACACACATATATGCAAGTCTTGGCGTATTCGGGACTTTTCCCGTGTAAGATTGAGAGTATCTCGGTGACGTTTCAACGAGGTCCCACTCATCATCTTCAGGCTGGTGTCTTCGGCTTCGTGCTTGTGTGAGGAAAGCGTGATCGGAGCTGCCGTCTTTCTATAAATACTGGTGGGGAGGTGTGGGGTGCTGGCTTTGTTGCTGTGAGCAGGTTGGTTGCCTGTGTTGTTACATCTTGATGAGTTGATGTTTGCAGATTAGTCAGAGAGACGGCAGCTCTGATCATGCTTTGCTTGCACAGGCACAAAGTCGAAGGCACCAGCCATATATATATATATATATTCGTAGATTTTCGTAGAGGTATGCAAGTCTTGGCGTATTCAGGTCTTTTCCCGTGTAAGATTGAGAGCATCTCGGCGACGGTTGCCTGTGTTGTGACATCTTGATTAGTTGATGGAGTTGATGTCTGCAGGTTAGTTGGCTGTTTTGTAACATCCTGTGTGGGTGAGGTCCTTAATGTGTGCCTATTAGTCTTTTGTGTTTTAACGACCTGGACAATGGGCTGGGTAGTTGATGTAATGTCCTGAGCAGATGGCTGTGAAGCCACATTCTGGGCTTTGGTTTGGCTCTGAGTTTGAGGTCTTGCCATGTGTTCATGGCGTGTGTCAGTTTGCTTTGTGTGGGGATCAGAGGGGGGTGCAGCAGCTGGTGATGCCGCCGTGGTCTGGCTTCTGGATGGTGGTTGTATTTTGTCTATGGGATGGGTTTGGGTTTGAATCTAGTGAGGATGATTGGTGATGGTGTCATGTGTTACCTTGGGTTCGGTGTTAATTATCCTCCTGGATACATGGCTGTCTTTAGAAGAGCATATGACGGCTGTGACCAGGGGGGCTTTTTATCAGGTTCGCCTGATCCGCCAGTTGCGTCCCTTTCTGGATCGGGATGCCTTGCACACAGTCACTCATGCTCTTGTCACATCCTGCCTGAACTACTGTAATGCTCTCCACATGGGGCTCCCCTTGAGGAGCACCCGGAGGTTCCAACTGGTCCAGAATGCGGCTGCGCGGATGGTTATGGAGGCGACTCGGAACTCCCATGTAACACCTCTCCTGCGCGAGCTGCACTGGCTCCCGGTGGTCTTCCGGGTGCTCTGCAAGGTATTGGTTACCACCTTTAGAGCACTCCATGGTTTAGGACCCGGGTATTTACGAGACCGCCTTCCGCCACCGATAGCCTCCTATTGACCAGTACGCTCCCACAGACAGGGGCTCCTCAGGGTGCCGTCGGTCAAACAATGTTGACTGGTGGTCCCCAGGGGGAGAGCCTTCTCTGTGGGGGCACCTACCCTCTGGAATAAGCTGCCCCCGGAGATACGGTGAATCCCGGATCTTCGCACCTTTCACCGTTCCCTAAAGATGTTTTTATTCCAGCAAGCCGGGCTGGCCTAACTCTTTTAAATTGTTTTAATTTTTAAATTGTTTAATTATGGGTCTTAATACAGGGGTGTTTTTAATTGTGGGCCAAATTAATTTAATTGGATTTTAATACTGTTTTTAAATTTTGTATTTCTTGTGTTTTATCTGTTGGCTGTTCACCGCCCCGAGTCCTTTGGGATAAATAATAATAATAATAATAATAATAATAATAATAATAATAATAATAATAATAATCATCATCATCATCATCATCATCATCATCATCATCATCATCATTATCATCATCTTCGTGGCTGGGACTCGTCTGTTGACTAGGGCTAGTTTTCAGATGTCCGGTAGGCAGGAGGTATTGTCGCGTTTATTCATGTTATGCGGGTGTTTCTCTATTTTGATGCACTCCCCTCCGATCCCCACACAAAGCAAACTGACACACGCCATGAACACATGGCAAGACTTCAAACTCGGAGCCAAACCAAAGCCCAGGATGTGGCTTCACAACCATCTGCTCAGGACATTACATCAACTACCCAGCCCATTACCCAGGTCGTTAAAACACAAAAGACTAATGGGCACACATCAAGGAACTCACCCACACAGGATGTTATGAAACAGCTGACTAATCTGCAAACATCAACTCCATCAACTAATCCAGATGATGTAACAACACAGGCAACCAACCCGCTCACAGCAACAAAGCCAGCACCCCACATCTCCCCACCAGTATTTATAGAGAGATGGCAGCTCCAATCACGCTTTCCTCGCACAAGCACGAAGCCGAAGACACCAGCCTGAAGATGACGAGTGGGACCTCATCAAAACGTCGCCAAGATACTCTCAATCTTACACGGGAAAAGTCCCGAATACACCAAAACTTGTATACATTCATACGTGTAGGTCTTTGGTTATTTGGGTTTTCTCCCACGTAAAATTGGAAGTGTCTTGGCGACGTTACAACGAAGTCTCATTTGTCATCTTCAGGCTGGTGTTTTCGGCTTTGTGCTTCTAGGAGCAATGTGTGATCGCAGCTGTTGCTCCTAGAAGCACGAAGCCGAAAACACCAGCCTGAAGATGACGAATGAGACTTCGTCGAAACGTCACCAAGACACTTCCAATTTTACGCGAGAAAAAACCCGAATAACCAAAGACCTACATACAAACACCTGCGAAAACGTCAGAAAACACACACACACACACACACATATATATATTGAGTTATGATCACACAGTTTGCCCATAAGCACCAAACCGAGAACTTCAGCCAGAAGATGACGAATGCGATTTCGTCAAAACGTCGCTACTACCCTTTTAAGGATATGTTTACATTTACACGGGAAGAAATCCGAGATATTAACTGTACACACACACACACACACACACACACATAAAATCTTAAAATTTTGTGAATCCTTTGGAATTTTCAATGTTTTTGCATAAATATGACCTCAAGGTTGTTGAGAGTGTGGTGGCACGACAACTGCCCGGGCACCTGGATGAAGCTATCTATCTGGACCTGTATCAGTCGGACTTCAGGCAGGGGTACAGAGCAGAAAAGGCATTGGTCGCGTTGGTGGATGATCTCTGGAGGGCTCGGGACAGGGGTTGCTCCTCTCTCCTGGTCCTGTTAGATCTCTCAGCGGCTTTTGATACCATCGACCATGGTATCATGCTGCAGTGGTTGAGGGGGTTAGGGGTAGGGGGCACCGTTTTGCAGTGGTTCTCCTCCTTCCTCTCCGACCGCTCGCAGTTCGTGTTGACAGGGGGGCAGAGGTTGACTTCGAGGCGCCTTGCATGGGGAATGCCGCAGGGGTCGGTCCTCTCGCCCCTTCTGTTCAACATTTATGTGAAGCCGCTGGGTGAGATCATCCATGGTTTTGGGGTGAGAGTCCATCTGTACGCTGATAATACTCAGCTGTACATCTCCACCCCAGACCACCCCAACGATGCCCTTGATGTGATGTCTTGCTGCCTGGAGGCCATGCGGGTCTGGATGGGGAGAAATAGGCTCAGACTCAACCCCTCCAAGACCGAGTAGCTGTGGTTCCCGGCGTCACAATATAGTCAGCTGGTGCCATCGCTGACTATTGGGGGTGAGTCTTTACCCCACACAGAGAGGGCCCGCAATCTGGGCGTCCTCCTGGACGCACGGCTGTCTTTAGAAGAACATATGACAGCTGTGGCCAGGGGGGCTTTTCATCAGGTTCGCCTGATCCGCCAGTTGCGGCCCTTTCTGGATCATGACGCCTTGCACACAGTCACTCATGCCCTTGTCACCTCCCGACTGGACTACTGCAATGCTCTCTACATGGGGCTCCCCTTGAAAAGCACCCGGAGGCTCCAACTGGTCCAGAATGCAGCTGCGTGGGTGGTTATGGGTGCAACTTGTTGTGCCCACATGACACCCCTCCTGCGCGAGCTGCACTGGCTCCCACTGGTCTTCCAGGTGCAATTCAAGGTGTTGGTTACCACCTTTAAAGCGCTCCATGGCATTGGACCTGGATACCTTTGAGACCGTCTTCTGCCACCAGTAGCCTCCCACCGGCCAGTTCGCTCCCACAGAGAGGGTCTCCTCAGGGTGCCATCAGCCAAATTATGTTGGCTGGCGACACCCAGGGGGAGGGCCTTCTCTGTGGGAGCCCCTGCCCTTTAGAATGAATTGCCCCAGAAATTCGTAAAATCTCTGATCTCCATGTATTTTGCTGTGCCCTAAAAACCTTGTTGTTCCGCCAGGCTGGGCTATCAATGTAAAGATTTTTAATTGGTTTTAAAAGGGATTTTAAATTTGGGGTTTTATAAATTGGGCCTATTATTTAATAATTTTAATTATTTTTAAACTTTGTCTGTCTCTGTGCTTTTAATTAGGCTGTACACCGCCCTGAGTCCTTCGGGAGAAGGGTGGTATAGAAATAAAATAAATAAATAAATAAACTGTGATGATGCAAGTCCTAAAATTAGATAAAAAGAACCCAACTGAGCAAATGAATAAAAAATATAATACTTGTTCATTTATTCATTGAGGAAAATGTTCCCAGACTACCTGTTTGTGGCAAAAGGGTAAATAGTTGTTTCCTCATGAATGCAGCTGAGCTTCTTACAGGCTCTGTAAGACCATGTCCTGGAATTGGCTTGTGCAGTTAGATTGTCTAGAGATTAGAACTAAATTCTGGCTGCAATCCTGTTTTGCTTGCATATGCCTAATAAATATCATGTTTCCCCGAACTTGCTTGTGAAACACAGGAACATACAGTTCAAAAGGCCCTGCTTTAACCTAATCTGGTTAATTTTGCCTTCCAGTTAAATGTTAATCTTGTAAATTGATTAACTCAAACATAAAAAGGAGAAAGAGAAGAAATGGAGAGTTTTGTGCTAACCTGAACTGCTGCAGAAATAATATTAAGCAACGCAGCATTGCTGTTTCTTATTACAATACCATCATTTGTGCCTGTTTCTTGCAATCAGCTGTTGTTGAGAAAGGGAAAATGAATTCTGGGTGGAAAAGGAGAATGGATCCAATATGGATAGTAACATGAGCAGTTTCCCCCCCCCCAGCACAAGAACAGTTTTTTCCCGAACACCATCACTCTGCTAAACAAATAATTCCCTCAATGTCAAACTAGTTACTAAGTCTGCATTACTATCAATCTTCTCATTGTTCCTATTACCCATCTCTTCCCACTTATGACTATATGACTGTAACTTGTTGCTGGTAACCTTAAGATTTATATTGACTGTTTCCTAATATGATTTGATTGCTTATTTGTTCCCTATGACTATCATTAAGTATTGTACCTTATGATTCTTGATGAATGTATCTTTTCTTTTATGTACACCGAGAGCATATGCCCCAAGACAAATTCCTTGTGTGTCCAATCACCCTTGGCCAATAAAGAATTCTGTTCTGTTCTGTTCTGTTCTGTTCTGTTCTGTTCTATTCTATTCTATTCTATTCTATTCTATTCTATTCTATTCTATTCTATTCTATTCTATTCTATTCTATTCTATTCTATTCTATTCACATTTGATTACTGAGCCACAAAAGAGATTAACAATCCAGAAAGCCAGGTTATGTTTTTGTTTTATGTTTTTGTTTTGTTTTTGCATCTGTCCAGAATGCTTTAGACCAGTTGTGGAGAAAATACCTAGATTAGATGTCATATAACTGTATTTACCTGAGAAAATGCTCACCGGGGCCTGGACTCTGATCTAGGTTGCTTTTATGGCTGTTTTTGAGATTCCCCAGGTGCACATTGCCTGAACATATCTGATTACCGATATGAAGGCAGCTGGAGGCTCCAAACCAACCGTTCAAGTTTTCATGCAGAAAAAAGTTGGAAGAGACCTTGAAGGTCATTTTCACGAGTTTCATTGAACTCATTAGAAATTCAGCCATCCATTTGCAGTCAACTGTTTTCATTTTAAATTCTGGTGCACAATACTGTGTTTAACGCGGTCCTAAGCCTGCCTTCTAATAAACTCCAGGCGTTCTGAGGTTGGCTTTAGGTACCACATGCCTTAAAACCCCAAGTGCGCTCAGGGCCTGGCCAGCCAAAGCGCAACAAGAGCCCCAGCCGCTAAGTAAGCCCAGCCTCTCTGCCCGCCCTATAGGCTTCTTCGGCCGAGCTCCAGCCCCGCTCTCCGGCCTCTGGAGTGTTGAAGGGACGGGTGGCTCCGCCTGTCCCAAAACGCTCTCAAAATCTTCCGCCCCCGCTGCGGCGCTGTTTCTGCACCGTTCTGCTGGCGTCGTCGCCATGACGGCTTCCCGCTGGTTTTCGCTGACGAACTTCGGGCTGAGCCCGCTCTCCGCCTCCGCCACTCTGGCTGTGCTGGTTACGCTGGGAATGGCCGCGGCTTGGTACTGGCGATGGAGGGACCGGCGAAGGCCGTTGCGGTTGAAGCAGGTGGGCACGGTGTCCGGCCTTTTCATCTACCCGATCAAGTCTTGCAAGGGGGTAGCCGTGCAGCAGGCCGAAGTAACGAAATTGGGGCTCCGGGACGGAGACATGCGCGACAGGTAAGGGTGCGGAGGTCCGCTGGGGATGATGGGGCACGAGTCCACGTCTGTCGTTTTGGCTGGGAAAGGAGCAGCTCTTACTGCCTAACGCGGCGCTGTTTCAAGCAAGCTCCTGGCATTACCAACACTTGGTGTAACTGCTCTGAATTTCGGATCACGTTCTCAGAACTGGCTGCATTAGGCAACATATGAAGTCGCAGCCCCTGGTTTAGAAACCTCAGAGACTGGATTTTTAGTAAGGTATTAATCCAAAATCAAGCCATCAGGTTTGAAGTGACCCGCAATATTTCTCTCCTTTTCTTGGTGTGCGTTTGTGCATTAATTAATGGTTCTTCCAGGCAGCGTTTTTATTTATCTTGTCTAAAATTGGCAATTTTAGACAAGCCTCTTTCCTTGGTGACCTCTCAATATTTTCCTGCCCCTTCATATTTTCCTTTCCTTACCAGGTAAACAAAAATCAATTAAAATGAACCCTCAAACTTTGTATACTGCGATTTCCTAAAACGATACATGACTTTGTGCAACACCCCTCCCCCCCCAAAGAAAACTAGTGATTTCAACGGGGATATGGCTGCTAAGCAAGAAAAAAAAATGAGATAGTTGCATTTTAAGATTAAAGTTTACTATAGTGGTCCCTAATGTTTGTGCCACTAAATAAACCAGGCTGCTGGTTTATTTTGGCAAGGCTGAAGCTGGTTTGCATAGGTAAAGTGAGAACATGTTTTGACAGCACTTTCAGTTCGTGTGCACAAGCACCGCTATTTGAAAACAAACAGACAACACCACCTACCCGGGCCATTTTGACTGACTCTTTGAAATGCCTTTCAATTGTTTGGAAGAACTTAAAAATATGTAATAATAGAAATACTTGAGAAGTGTATAAGTTGAAACTAGTTATGTTTGATATTGATAAATTACATGTGGCTGAGACATAGTGATCATCTCAGAAAAGCTTTAGATGAAAGAACATTGAATCAGAATTAAAATAGTATTAGAATAATAGTTTTTACTATTGCAGTGAATGCTTCTGTACTTCAAATTAAGAGTAACTATAAGGGAATTATCTTCAGTTATGTGATGGGAATCTATACATAGCTTGTTGTAGACTAATGAATTGTAGATTTTTTGCAGAAAGCAAGGGGTTGGGTTTAATAGCTTAAATGCCCCATTTTTATGATTCGAGTGTGGGTTTTTTGATTCTGATATGGTGAATAAGGTGAATAATATACCTTACCCATTTGATCAGGATTAAATTATGATAGCTCAATGGCTTCAAACATTGCAAATGTCTATGCAAGTACAGATACAGATTTTTTTAAAAATAGCATGTAAATGCACATACAAAAATCAAAATTACTTCTGGAAAGTTGCATTCAATTTCCTCTCATTCCTTTTCCCTCTTGATGTTAAGCCTCTTGCAATTAACAAAACAAAGATAATAGAAAAATATGGGTTGTCTTGTAGAAATTCGACCAAGTTTATTGTTTTCAATCCAAACAAGGATAAGGATCTAATTTTTGAATGCTTAATTGCACTGCCAGCTTCTTATGTTTGTCCAGGATTTTCTGTCCCCTTTTCTTACTTACTCTGACACAAATGCTCTACTAGATGGATTTTCTTCTTTTTCATTTTGCTGTCATCCATTTCCTGGCAGACAGTTACTCTCTAGATAAGCTTCTAAAAGATCTAGTTAAGAGCCTTTTTTCTCTTAAAAGCAAAAGTGTGCAATTTACACTTTTAAAGTGTATTTTTAGACATTTTTAGAGGGTTGAGAGGTCAAATTGACATTGTGGGTAGAGCTAGATCTTGGTTGTTCCTTTTTTTCATCTGCTTCTCCCTCAGAACTATAGAACATTGCTGAAAAGCGACCCATAAGTCATGACTGGGAAGAACCAGAAAATCCTACTAGGCTACTAGTGCCAGTCTTATCTTAAGATATGTTCTATTCTCACCAATCTAATATGTCTCTAGTGGTAAGCAATTGCGTGTACACTGTTTTTTTCATAGAGTTCAGAATAAATCAAAGTCACCTGAGTCTTCTGGTTTGATGTCGTAGCGAGATCGGATGTGAAGAGTGGGGCTCCATGAACTTGCGCCGAATCCTCCTCGTTGGAGGACTCCCCTCCAAGGGCCTAAAGTCACCCTGTAGGGGTGACAAAGAAAGGAGGGGCACCCTGCAGGTCACAGAGAGTGGCGGCTCTCCAGCTGGACCCAGGGATTCCCCTCCATCTAATGACAAAAAGGAGAGGAAGCCATTATGGCTGCCATGAAGCTGGGGCAGCCGAAGAAACAAAGAATGTGCTGGAGCCGTGTAGATGAACAGTGATTGGAACTGGGTGAAGTGATTATTTTTTTACCAAAATCTAACACTAAAGAAAATAAACCCTGGAAAAGAGACTCTTTAAAATGCTTGTCAAAGCGGTGAATAATTACAGAGAGAAAAATTATAGACCCAAAAGAAAAGGAACTAAAGGGAGACTGCAAAATCTTTAAAATATAGAAATATTGGATTTTTAAACTTTATGGGCAATATTTTGGTAAGGCATTTTAAATGCTGGAATTATTTGTCTGACTATTGACTATCTGCAAAAAACTGAAATAAATATCTGTCAGATTTTGTGCAATGTTGAAATTTAAACTGAAGGCACCATCTACTGCTGAATGGAATATATACTCAACTCCTACAACCTTGGGAAGTACTAATAAGACAAAGGAAAAAAAAGTGGAAATAAATAACATCTGGAGGACTGTTGTGCTATCTACTATTCTATACCTGTCTACTTCATGGTTATTGAGGGTTTAACTGTGAGATTATGGACATCTAAAGAAAGTGACTTTTAAATGCCAGGATCTATGACTGAACTTACAAAGTAGATTTAAGGAGACATTTGGAAATCTTCCTGGATTACCTAAATGGAACTAATTGACTAACTGTGGGACACAAAGAACTAAAACTATTGCATTTCCCTGAGGAGCCACACTAGGATTGAGTAAATGATTTCTAAGATGGCTTTCTGAGGTCATAAACAATTGAGACTTTGGGGCAGTAACAGACTACTGACAGGCTATTGAGCAATATTTGGACCTATCAAAATAAGACAAGTTGTTGCATCAGGGGGAGATGAGTGGATTTCAAAAAGAAACGGTGATGATGCTCCAAAGTACTTATGATATGTTGATAAAGAACCACAGAGAGATAAAAGACTTAATGTATGACATTGTGGGGAAATCAGAAAATGTTCAACAAGGGACAATGAATAAAGAGCATAAAACACAGGAAATAGAGGAAATAATAGAAAGACCAGAGGAAAAGACAGAACAGATTAAATCAACAAATAAAAAAAGAAGGAAAAGACAATAAAGACTTATGAATCAAATAAGGGACAATATATATTAAGAGATCAAAAAATGGGATTGGATAAAAAGAAAGATCATTTGAAGAGAAGATAGGGGCTTGGGCAGATGCTCCGGAGGTACGGCAGCAAAAGATAGTAAAAATAGAAGAAATATTTGGGTTAAATAGGAAAGATGTAGACAGAGACAACAAGGGAGGAGTTTGGGAGGCAAGTCAAAAAATGAATAAGAATTAAAATAGTAAAGCAGGCAAGAGATGATGGTTAGAAAGGGAATGCTGTTTAATATAAGATTGGCTTTATTGAGAGCTAGAATAGAGGCAGAAAGATCAAGGGGAAATATTATTATACATATTTTTATATAATATACTAAAAATAATAGCTAGATGTAAAGATTAGATGTTGAAAGATGGTATCACTATGTACGTTTAAATAATATTGTGATTGTTATTAGAATGGCGCACAAAAACACTGAACAACTAAACAATGAAGGAACACTTTCTAATACAAATATGTATAATAACACCACCATTACATAAGTATGATTAATGTAACAAGTATTATTAATATTATTATTTGTATTTAAATGAATGATATCTAGATGTCTCACTGTTCATATGATATTGATGTATATCCATAAATAAATAAATAAATAAATCTGAGTCCTTAAAGTAGAACTTTTTCATTCATTCATTGGAAATAGAATGGAATTAATGCTAAATTAGTACTCTACTGTCTACTGTTCACATTTTAGCATGTTACCTTTTGAAAGGTTGGATTGATTTTCAGTATTTAGAATATTTTGATATGTTTTTAACTTAGATGTTGGCTTGTGATAAAGGAAGATGGACATATGGTGACTGCTCGTCAAGAGCCTCGACTAGTATTGGTCTCTATCACCTGTCAAAATGGCTATTTGACTCTGAGTGCTCCAGAAATGAACGACACTCATATTCCAGTCAGATTGTCAACCAAAAATCCAGTACGGGATTGCAGGTACTTTTTCTTTTAAGTTTTTTCAACTTCTCGAACAACAGGGAAAAAGTGACTTACATTTAGAAAAAGTACAAAATTAAAACTCTTCACAGTTCGGCATTTCTAAACCAGTCTAATATCTCCATGATTGCTTCTAGAAAATGCTTAAACTAGAAATGCTAGTCACATATATCTTGAACTTCATTTAATTTGACCCTTATATTAGTCTTGGGCCAACTTAATAAACCAGTTTAGGATCTATATCCCTCATGGGGATACCAACAACAAGATTGATTCAAAGGTCCAACATACTGGTAATTAATCTATTCTTTTATTGTACTTCTCAAGTTAACGCAGATTGCTTAGAGATATTCAAGCTGATTAATGCATTCTTAAAGTAAACATTTAAGAGAAAAATCCACATTCTAATCGGAGGTATTAAGAATGCATAGAAAATCAACATAGAATAACACAGAATCAAATCTTTTAATCAAACTTAACTATTTTTGTCCATTCATAACCTTTCTCCACATAACATTCCTATTGCTATGGTGCCTGAGTGAATGTAATTTATCATTGGAGAAGTAGGACACATTATTGCTCCTGGCTTTAGTTCTTTACATTTCAGAACCAAGATGGATGAGCTTCCCTCTATTACCAGCAGAACTGCTGTAGATTTTCTGGCATAGTGTCTTTCTTTCCCACCCCACCAACAGTTTATCTTATTTAACTTATATTTGAATCTTACAAGGATGTAGTTTCCACCCCCTTCTCCAACCTTCATTCATATATACATGCATCATTCGTACTAGTAAGAAACATAATGTTACTTTACTTAAAGATTGTTCGGAGAATGCTTCTGGTGAGGCATGAGAACTAATGCTTGTGAGGGAATTATGGCTGAAATAGGTAGCTGCAAGTGAGGTCCAAATTGCCAAAACTTTCTCTGGAAGAAACAGATCTGGAGATTGCCCATATGTACTTCAGACAGTTGGTTTTTGTGAGTAGACAATAGAAACCATAGTTTGTATTTATTGTCTTTATTTTTTGTAATTTCTTTTAAATACAGCAAGGAGGCAATTTCAGAATTGTTTCTGTAAAACTTTTATAAATGCTAAGGCTTTGTGAAATCAAGTTAAACTTTGAAGTTAATTAGTAAGAGCTCCTGTGTGGGAAAATCTGTCTTGTTTACATATCAGTTGCACAATAGTTGATAGTAGAACACAAGATGGCTAATTTAAAGAAAACGTTTGGTTTATGGCCTGTGAAGTGTTTGGACTTTTTCACTCTTTACTGGAACCAAAAGCTGAACAAAATCCTTCTGGAGATAACCTGAAATGATTTCTAAGGTGGATTTAACAATAACCATTTAAAGAAATAGAAATACTGGATTTATAAATGCTACCCTTTTAAATTGAAACAATGCAAAATGCAGCCATAGGAGGTTGGCAAGACTGTTCTGAGACCATCATGCCTGGGAATGTTAAATGAAGATTGTTCAATTCTGTCAGCATAGTTCAAAAGAGACAAGAGATCAATTGGAGCAAGTTCAGAGGAAGGCCAACAAAATGATGAAGAGTCTGAGAAGTAAGTTCTTTGAGGATTAGTCTTTACATATCTGAAAGTTTGTCAAATATTTGAAAATTAGAAGAGAGAGAGTGGACTTATATCTGCTGTTCCAGAATAAATAAGTTAAAACAACCAGGATGAGAACCAGTGGGGGTTAAAACAATAAGGAAGGAGGTTTAGATTAGACATTGGGAGAAACTTTCTGACTATATGAACTGCCAGCCAATGGAAATGTAGCTACTCCTTTGTTAGAGGTCTTCTAATAGAAACTGGGTGGTCATCCTTCAGAGAATCTTTAGTTTAGTGCACTGAGCAGGCAGTTAGACTAATTTACATCTATGATCACTTTCAATTCTATAATTCTATTAAATGTAATTGTAGTATCTAGCAGAGATCTTATCAATGCCTTTCACAATTCTTTTAGGCTATTTGGCTTTGATGTTCAAGGCAGAGATTGTGGAGAAGATGCCGCTCAATGGATTACAACCTACTTAAAGTCAGAACCATATCGCTTGGTTTGTTTTGAACCAAATATGGTTCCAAGGAATTCAAAAGATTTAATGGAACCTTTTCGTCCCACTGATAAGGTGAGCTTTGGTCAGTGGTACATGTTACAGTATAAGTGGATCTGTTTTTCAACCCATATTCTTTTTTATCATGTACTCAAAACAATCTGAGTGTATTTAACTGTGTAATTATTAGTCAATATTCATTTATTTATGCACATGCAAACACAGCTAATCTCCAAACTGTACACAGAATTGGACCTATAGTAATTAGTATTTGAATGAAAGATTACCAGGCAGAACCAGGGCAATAGAGAGGACTGCATAGTCAAAAACATCCCATAAGAAGGTGATACTAGACTATTTCCATAATGCTGTCAAGAAAAGGGCAATTGAGTTTCACTTAAATATGTCATTACTTTTTCTTAATGTACACTTATATGTTCTCTGCATACGAATGGTGATTGATACTAAAAGACAAATATAATGGAATAAACGTTTTAAAAAGTACCACTGTGTGAGAGATCCCTTTGCAAGGAGAGCAGCCTTTGTAATCAGTTTCCAAGTGGTGGGTGGCTGGGTTCTTTGTTGTAAAACCTGAATAGAGTTGATTATCATGTGACATATCTACCTTTTCTTTAGCAAATGGCTGTGGTCAGATACTTTAATACATCATTTAATGAAGCTACCAGATATCACAAATAGTCCTTGGTTAGCAATGGCAATTGGGATTGGAATTGCCATTGCTAAACAATGCAGTTATAAACCACAATGTGATAGGACTATGCTGCTTAGTAATTGTCGTTAAGCAAGGACCTCACATAACAGCAACATCTGACTTCCTGCCAGCTTCTCCATTTGATTTTGCTTATGGGAAGCTTGCAGGAAACATTGGAAATTGAAATCATGTGACCATGGCTCACTGCAACATAATGTTGAGCCACATGCCAAATGCCTGGACCATGGAGATGCTGCAGTAGCAGGAACTGCAAGGACTTATCTTAACTACCATTTGTTCAAAGCTGTCATAACCTTGAATGATTGATGAACAAGTGGTTGTTAAACAAGAACACCACCCCTCCACATACAGACAGTTATTTTGAGGCTGCTTCCTTTTGTGCTACAAACCGACCCTCTCTCTGTATTTTGTGTAAATGTTTTGACATTGTTCATATACGGAATATGCTTCTCTAGATTGCCTATTCTGACTGTAGTCCTGTCATGCTCCTCTCGGAAGCTTCTTTGGAAGAGCTTAATTCCAGAATGGAGAAGAAAGTTCAAATACATAACTTCAGGCCCAGCATTTTGGTCACTGGTTGTGGTCCCCATGAGGAGGTAAGGTAGGACATAACTTTTTAGTTTACATATAGAATAATTTTGCACTTACATATGCATGTAACTGTTTAATAAAACATTTTTAAACTTGTATTTCTCACAAGAGTCAGCCAGGAAGTTGGTTGGAAGTCTAGAAAATGAACATATTGCAGGCATTAAATTGGGGAAAAGTTCATGTTATCTAAAAGTTTTCTTTGCAGTGAAAGGAAGCTTTTTTTCCTTTAGTATATTCCTAAATTTATTGAAGGGGGAGGGTGTCTAGTGTGGGTAGAAATAATGCTAACGGTGCTGAATAGAATATTTTAAAAAACATTTTCTTCAACAAAAAGTTATGATGTCAGTTATTTCCCCTGGCAAGTGGAAATATCAATCTGCTCTTTATTTGGTCACAATGGATTTCTAGGTTCAAGGTGAAATCATTCCTAAAAATCAGTAGTAAAAGCATAAAATGCATGATGAAGCTAGGCAATAAGATGTCTAATTTACTTACACTGAATAATAGGACTTAAAAATACATGGTTTTGGAGAAAACCAAAGAACCTGGGAAGCAAGCTACAGTTCCAGGACTCTAAAGCTTTAGATTAGGTTAAAGGTTAGTTTTCATAAGTAAAATTCATTCCAAAAATAATAGTCATTCTAATATGTAGCAAAAAGTAGTATTTGGAGAAATTACAGTATTGATGATTCCTATATCAACCAGGCATATTCACCATACTATGTTTTCTTTCAGTCACACATATATTCACAGATAGATAATTTCTAATTTTTCTTCTTTGCAAAAGTCTTTTGATCCAGCATGATTTTTTTCTGGTTCCTCTCTTTTCCCAATGCCCTTCATCAAAATCACCTCTGGAAGGTTAGGATAGCGGGCCCCAAGCTTTCTGGCTGGCAGCCCAATTTGGGGTGGGGAGAGGGGATGGTTTTGTGTGAGTGGCAGGCACTCACACAATGCGAGCCCAAGCACCTGCCACTCACGCAAGTGGAGCTGCCCTTCCATCACTTGCACAGTCCAGTTTCAAACAGGCCACTGTCCAGTAGTGGGCCATGGCCCAGGGGTTGAGGAGACTTCCTGAAAATTGGGGAGCTAGTGCAGGGGATTGAAAAAGATAGGAATAGTCCCCATACTTTCTGCAGGTGGGAATGTTCCAAATAAAATTGCCTCAAATAGGCAAGCAAATACCATTTACAAAATGAAATTTCAGGTTGTGCAAGTAGCAAAGCTTGACTAATGTTTTGCAGATAGAATTGTAAGTAGTTATAATGTACAGATATTAAGTTACGACTAGGTGTATCACTTTATTTTCAGACTGTATATAAAATTGATTTTCTATAAAATTGAATAATTAAAACTCTTCGTCTATGAAATGCATCACTCAGAAGCATTATTCTTTCCTTTTATTGGTCTCTTTTATGACATTTACATTCATGTCAGAAAACTCATAATAATGCAAAATTCATATGAGCAAGTTGAATTCCCTTGGACTTAACCATTATATTTTTGTAGGACACCTGGAATGATATTATAATTGGAAGCGTACAAATGAGAGGGACAGTGGCCTGTCCCAGGTATGAATTTTTTGTTATTGTATTTCATGGCTGAAAATAATTTAAGGCTGTTGTTACCTCATTCAGCTTTCTCATTGTAGGTGTATTCTTACAACAGTTGATCCAGATACTGGCATCATAGACAGAAAAGAACCTCTTAATACTTTGAAAAGGTAATAAAATATTTTGGCATCTTCAATACAATTGATGAAAGCCAATTTGGTGTAGTTTAAGTATTAGGCTAGAAACTGGGAGTCTGTAAATTCTAGTCCTATTTTAGGCACAAAGCAGTTGGGTGATCTTGGTCCAGTCACACACTCTCAACCCTAGAATGGAGGCAGTGGCAAACCAGTTCCAACAATGTTGCCAAAAAACAACAACCCTACACGGATTTCTCTAGGCAGTTACCAGGAACCAAGATTGATTTGAAGGTAGACACACACACACACACACACACACACACACACACACACACACACACACACACATATTATGTGCATGATTGTGGTTTTTTCAAATGTGGTGGCAAGTATCTTTGCACATTTGGGAGGGCTAAAATTTTATTGAGAACAACCTTCCACAAACTGGTACCCTCCAAATGAGATGAGACTATAGTTTCCTGGCTGGCAATTATGTTCCCAGTGTGCCTGGAGAAAGCAGTTTGGAGAAACTGGAGCAAATGCAATAGCAAAATTTCCTTGTTTTGTGAATTTTTGCTACCGCAGAGTCCATTAATAAAATTAGGCATTTCATGAATGAAGGTGAATATACGTGTCTCAGGATAGGTAGGTAGATCATCTTCAATGTTTCAGTTGTCTTGCTTAGCTTTTGTCTTTAATGTTCTTAATCCTAATAATTGTAATGAATATTATTCAATTTAAAAAATGAAAATACAATTTCAAGTACAGTGCAACTTTTAAGGTTGTATGTTATACTAAAGCCCCGCTGAGTTCAGTTTAACAATAGTCCAAACAATTATGTTTAGATTTCAGCTTTAATTTTAGGCTTTCAAAATAGTTGTTACTATGTGATTGTGAGATTTTGTAACAATCTGGAATTTTTGGCATGTAGGAAACATATGCTTGTTAGCTTCTTATAATAAAATGTTATCTGCTTATTTTAACTATTTTATGAGCAATTCATTATGACCTTATTTTTTCTAATAGTTACCGCTTGTGTGAGCCTTCTGAAAAGCATATATACAAATCAAGCCCTCTGTTTGGATGGTACTTTGGAGTTGATAAAACAGGAACACTTAAGGTTGGAGATCAGGTTTACAAGATCATGTGGTGATAGAAATTTCCAAATGGAAATGCATTTTGACATCTTTTAAAAATCTTTTTTGAAGCTGATATCTTTCTAATGAAAATTGTCTATCTTTAATCTAGGAATACTTTCTGTAACTTTTTAAATGCAGTTGTATTGGTGATAAATAAATGATTTTCTGCTTTCTAGAATTGAGTCAGAAATGTTGTAGTTTAACTCTGTATAGTAATTAATACATAATGATTATGGAAAACTTATGAGAGGTAAAACGAAGCATGAGCCATCAATGTGACGTGCTGCAAAGAAGACAAATGCAATTTTAGACTACATCAAGCTGATGTATAATTTCCAAATCATGGGATATATAATCAATCCACTCTGGTTTTTCTCTGGCTCAGTGCTTTGACTGAGCAGCACCCTTTAAGGTTTCAGAGAAGTTTAAACAGATTCAGAGAAGGTTAGCAAAGTTGATCAAGGGATGAGAATCTAAGATTTTTGAAGAGAGATTGAAGAAGGTGGGTGTGATCACCTTAAGAAAATATAATTGAGGGGGATATAATAACCCTGTTCATATACCTGAAAGGATGTCACATGGATGAAGGTAAATCTCTCTTATTACTGGATTTAATTAAATAGTAATTGATTTAAGTTATAGGAGGGTAGGTTCCCATTAAGTGTCATAAACACATTCCTAGGTGGCTCTACTGTTATTGACATCTGCTGCCTTCTCTTAACAGTTAATCATGATTTTTAAATTTTTCTCAGTAATTATTTTTATATATTACTGTTTTATAGTTTTACTGTTATTGTTTATTAACAAAAAATTGTTGTTGTTTTGTGAGATGGGTAGCTATATAAATTTGATGACTGAATGAAGGAAGGAAGGAATCAAGGAATCAATCAAGGAATCAATACTAGTTTGACAGTGGAACCAGTGAAATGAGAGATGATGGGGCTCTCATCTGCTTGATGTGTTCATGCAGAGTGCCGTCTGTCTGATATGGTTTAATTTGGATTCCAGCACCAGCAAGGATTTGAACTTAATAGCCTAAATGGTTTCTTTAATTCTATAATTCTAAGTTCCAAATTCTTCACTGTCAGTCCATATTTTTATATATCTTATTCTAAGTATTACTTGGAACTAAATTGCATTGATTTCAATATGGCTTTGTTATAATATGATAATGTCACATTTGGATCAGCCTCATGTTTCCTAATCCCTTTTATATTACTCACAAAGATATATAAAATATGTATCGATAAGCTTTCTTTACTTTATATCATAATTTGTATCAGATTTATTTTTAAGAGATCAAATTTTAACATTTGTAATATATGCTCTTGCTTGTAAGAATATTATCAAATTACTGAATGTAAACTTTGCAAGTAATAGGGGAACTATTACTTGATTTTTAAAAATAAAAATATAAAATGTACAAGCATTTTTCCATGTAATTATCTGAAGTTATTGAAACAATACATTTGCAAAAGTATTAATAACCTTATTTTGTATAATAGTCTGATTTAGGGTGATTAGTAAGCTTCAATTATATGTATCATAGAATTATGCATTTGATACAAGAATGTAGTTCCTTTTTAGTGCATATTCTTCCTTTATTCTGCAGTATATGTTCTTGTTATTACTATCAGGAAAAGGTACTATGGAATTTAAAGGTGAAAAAAAGGATTCTCAAATTCTGCTGTGCTGTGTTCCAATAAAATGATAAATGATAAATAACATGAAACTTTTTCATATATAAAACTATTTTATTGAGGTTAGCCACAGCTAGAACCTACTCACAAAACATCTTCTAAGCTGTTTTAATAAGGCTCAGGAGGGGCATGGATCTAAAGAGCAGGTGGCTAAGCTCCCAGTCCCAAGAACCCTGTCCATTTCTCAGGTCCAAGGACTTCAAGCTGTTCATGTCAACTACATTCAGCTACCTAATGTTTAGGTAACGTTACATATCAATAATTTGGATTCTCAATCAACAAAATGGCATTATGTCAATTCAAAAGTAACCATCCCTTTTCTTTCTCCTTTTTCCATTTTGTTCATCCATTCATGCAGTCTTCTTACCTTCTTAGTTACAATCTTCCATATGCGATGATCATTACCAAATGGGCTATAGATACTTACCTCTATCCCCCATCTTGGCTTTGATCAATTGAAACTTTCACACAACCTTTTTAGTGAGATGGGACATCAGCCTTAGTTGTGCCCAAGCTGCATGCAGCACTCCCTGACAAAGGGAAGGAGAATGTCAGTTCTGAAACATCGAGGCCAAGTACACTGTAAGTGCAATAAAACCCGAGTTTTATTTCAAGTATGCTCACATTATTCTATGGAAATTGGAATGCCAAGACTATCTTGCAAGGCAACTTACTATTGGCTCATACGTTCCCAACTAATATACTAAGGATTCAACATGTTTTCCAACCTTTGTCCATTTTTAAGACATAATTTTGAATGATTAACTTTTCCTAACCCTGTTTTAGAAACTGCCCCAGTAAATAGTTCTTAAAGTTACCCAGACATCTGACACAAACAGGATATGTCATCATTTTTGTCTTCATGCTCACTACCTGTCAGCCTTCACTTTAAAATCTAATATTGTTTGGCTTTTTGTGTATTTTTTAAAAATTCTGGACAGTAGTAGTCTTTCAACACACAAAAATGTGTGTGTTGGGACTTAGTAAATTGTCTGCTTTTTCTCTCCTCCATGGTCAGCCTTGACAGTCTACATTTACATTATTTCCTGATTCCAGCAATCAAGTTCAATCCAGCCTTTTCAAACCTGTGATCTGTGAAGTCTGGATCACATGACTCATATGCCACATTGTCTTAGATTCTATATTATTGCTAGTATAAATTCTTGAAAATAAAGATTTGTTGGGAAAATACGATTAAAAAATCAGCCTTTTCTGCTGCTGGAAAAAGTAATCACATGCAGGTAGGCGAAGAATTTTTTTTTTTTGGGGGGGGGGGGGCAGGTTTTCACTGTAATTTTTGTCACACCACAAAAACCATACCTCACCCCATGGTTCTTTTTTCCAGAATCAATACATTTTCAGTTTCCTTATTCTGCAAATTTAGTCTCCAATGACCGTTCTTCAATGTGTCCAAAGCTTTCTGAAAAGACTGCCTGCCCACAAGTGTAGTGCTGTCTTTATTTTGCTTTGTTTGCTTGATTTTGTCTCTGCCTGGAACTGAGATGACCATCTGCCTAGAAAGGGGGGTGGTTGCAAGGCCGGTTCTGTCCGGAGTTTCCAATGGAGGAGAAGAGCCGGGTAGATATGATCAAGGAGAAGCTCTTCTCTTCTTGGGCAATGAGAAGAAATGAGACCCTCCTTTTCCGCCTTCCACTGCTATTACGAAAAGAAGGAAGGCCGACGGCCACCCTGCAAGAGTCACCGACCCAGAACCACTCCCAGCGAGCAGGCCCGTTTCTCCCTCGCAGACGCCCCTATGGCTGGCTCCGTCGCCCTTTTCCCCTTCTCGGGTCTGCCGCTACCTCCGTTTCTGCTCGCCTGGATTTGCACCGCCGCCGCTCTCCTCTCAGGGGTCGTGGCGGCCTGGCGTTGGCAGCGGAGCCGTCGAAGCCGTCGCCCGCGGTTGAAACTGGTGGGGACGGTGGCTGAGCTCTTCATCTACCCGGTCAAATCCTGCCGGGGGGTGGCTGTGAAGCGAGCCGAGATGACCTCGCTGGGCCTCGGGAGCGAGAAGCTGCGGGACCGGTAAGCCGGCCGCGGAAAAGCGGGCGCCTTCGAGGCGCGGACTCCCTTTCCAAAGGACCGCTTCGTGCAGGGTTGTCCTTTGGGGCTGAAGTTCATCAACTCCCGATCCCGCTGGCCTGTAGGAATGAGTCCCCGGGCAATCTCGGAGGGATTGTCTGTGGAGATTCTCAGTCATCCAGGGCATGGTTGTCCCAAAGGCGCTTTTTCAAGAGGCAACTGGACTTTTTGGTTTTCTTCAGCTGAAGAAGCTTCTTGGATGAGAAGCGAAACGTCTTCGAAGAAAAACCAGAAAGTCCAGTTTCTTCTTGAAAAAGCACCTTTGGGACTGGGGGTGGGGATTGTTTTGGATTGTTTGCTCGCTTATCCAAGTTAATGGGAACGGCGAATTGTGTAATCTTAAACATTTGTGCGCTCGCGAATCAGTAACCCCCACCAGTCCCACCTCCACTTACCAAGACCTTCCTAAGTGATTGCCACTACTCCAAGGGAGGGAGAGAAGATCTAGTTTAAAAAAAAAACCGAAGTAATGTACTGTATTAGGAAAGTTTCTTGCTAGCTCAGGAATATGGAAGGATAGCCCTAACACAGCGTTTTTCAAACCTGGTGATTTTAAGGGTGAACTTCAACTCCCAGATTCCCAGCCAGAATTTTGGGAGTTGAAGTCCACCCATCTTAAAGTTGGGCAAAATATAAATAAATAATAAACATAGGGCAAAGAAAAGAAAATTGCGCTAGGAAACGGATACAGTATTTGGAAGAAATCCTGATTGCTGTTGTAAGTATCTTTACAATGCAATTCAAACCCTTCCCTCTTTTACTTTCTTGCCCCTGATTTCTAGAGGGATGTCTTAACTCCTCTTCAGAAGGAATCCCTAATTGCATTGGATGGTAGACAATCTCTCCTTCCTTTCAATAGGAAGAGTATCTTGCTTGCCCATCATTTCTCTTAATAAGGTTATGCTGCCTTGGTTGTTATGGAAATGCTAGCTGCAAAACCCAAGAGTGAGAATATATCTTTTACTGGACCTTTTATGTATAGAAATAGAATAGAACAGAACAGAACAGAACAGAATAGAATTTTTTATTGGCCAAGTATGATTGGACACACAAGGAATTTGTCTTGGTTAAGCAAACTAGCAAAAGCATTGCTTCAGGAATTTTTCCCAACCCCTTTACAATCAGTGATCACAGGAAGCATTTGCATTTTCTTCCTTATAGTTAAGTAAGGTATTCTCCCTCTGCTTCAGTGTCTTCATGGGGCATTTCTGTTTGCATGCGCTGGAAAGCACGGGATGGGCTGCATATGCTCTGTTTAGAGTGATGTGGCTAGCTTTGAATGGAGCAGCATTTTTACCAATTGCATCTCTTGGATTTTTCCCTGGAATGTTTTCCTACACACAGCCTCTACTGTATCTGTTTTTTTTTTTAATAGTTCTTTTAGCCAACTTTTCCCACCATAGCACATTTGATGGATAGTTCACTTGATGGATAGTAGACAGATACATGAAGAGCCACAGAATTACAAAATTCCACTCCAATGTTCCACTGGATTAGAAAGAGTTCATTATATTGAGAACAACATGGTACCAAATCCAATCCAACTCAACTCAACCTTCCTATTTGCTAAAAATTGGAAAGCAGAAATGATACCTACGGATGAAGAAATTATTAGGAAAATGTTGGAATGTGCCGAAATGAGTAAACTGACATTAGAAATAAGAGAGCAGGAAGAAAAACAATATTATTTGATATGGGATTTATTTTATCATTGGCTAGATAATAAAAAATGGTGATATATAAGTAAATGCTGAAATATTTCAAATGATGATACAACCGATATATTTTATATAAAAATAAGTTGTGGATATGTAGTGATATTGTGAAGAGAGGAGAGGGCACTAAGGATGCAAACCGACCGATGTACTGTCTGTACTTGATTGAATGAATGATGTTTGTATGTTATTTTTCTTTTTTGTTTTAAAATAAAAAAATGAATTGGAAAAAAAAACTCAACCTTCCTGGGGCGGGGGGGGGGGGGATGATAAAATTCCCTGAGGCCATGGTCTCTTCTCTTTCTTTTCTACTACATGTAGTAGTGTATCATTAGCAAGGTTTAAAATAGATTTGTTGTTTTAATTCTTTGTCTAGAGCAGTGTTACTCAACCACAGCAACTTTAATACATGTGGACTCTCTGAATTCCCCAGTTGGGTCCAACATACCGCTGAGTCTAGTTGATTTCAAAGGCTGCGGTATATTTCTCTTGCTTATTAATTTCATATGTAGGTGTTTTTAAACAATATATGCTCTTTCTTATGTAGATTTTGGACTGTGATAAAAGAAGATGGACAAATGGTATCTGCTAAGAACATTCCTCGCATGGTTCTAATTAGTGTATCCTGTGAAGATGACTATTTAATCCTGAATGCCCCAGGAATGAAGACACTGCGAATTCCTGTTGAACTCCCACAGACAAATTCAATCTGGAATTGCACGTATTAAAAGTTTTATTTTTTTCTTGCTTTCTGATTAACAAGTTTTTCAATTTTATTCTTCCCATTTACTTGTTTCCATATATTTCCCCAGTCACTCAGACATGTATGGAGCATAATAAGCAAAAATGGGGAAAAAATGGAATAACAAAATAAAAATGCTGGTTGCCCAACAATCATACTGTGGGCCCAAGAGCCTTTCAGGCCTTCTAAATAAAAAGGCAGTCTTGGACAACTGAATTTGGAGGGGTGGTAGTAACAATACCACAGAATGTGGAAACTACAATATTTGGGGTGTAGGCTCTAGTAGCTTTTTTTTTTATCCCTCCAGAGACTATAATTTTGTTGTAATCTGCTGAATAATACAGGTACAGTAGTCCAGTATTGCGCAATGGAAAATAGGTGTGGAAGACAGTAGGCAGATCAGGAGATAGATGTAACCCTTAAACTTAAAAACTTCTTTCTTCAAATAACCCCACACCACCCAAACTCAGAAATGGCATCCAGTCCCACCTGCTTGCTGACATTCTGTCATTACACTGCAGCCCTCATTAATCTCTCAGTTTTTAAAAGTGCATCTTCCAGCTAATATTGCAGATTCATAATTTTTTAAAAAATGCTAACAAGAATACAAAAGGGAAAAACTATATTTCAATACTATACAAAATAATGCATTATATTTTATATCGAATGTATTTCAGCAAGCTATTAAAATTCTGCAATTGTTATGACTAATAATTTATGCTAATCATTCATAATTTATTAATTTCAATGACTTTTATTCCCTTTTACAATGTATTTGATAAGATTTCTGCCCTTAACTGATCCACTACTAAATTCATGTAGTAAAATGCTTTTGAAATGTCCCTTTGTTGTTCCTACTTTTCCAATTTATATTTTTATTCATGCATGTTAATTTCCACAGTCTCCATATTCCAATATTTTGAAGAGTTTGTGTTGGCTTATAAAGTCAACTCACATTGTTTTCTGTTTCTCAGTGCTAATTATTTTGGTATGACAGGAAGATACTCAGAGCTAAAATAATTTCTATCTCTGATTTTTATTAATACTCATGAATGCATCCCCCCCCCCCCAGTAAATGTCTTTATACTTTTACTGGATCATACTCTGAATGTGGCTTTCTTTCTATCCTTTTTTCCTGATAATTAAGGTAGTTATTAAATTAAATTATTAAAATTCCAATGGTGTTAGATTTGTGGAGCAATCTTAGATGTTCATGGGTGGTATGGTACTTAAGCTGCTTTATATGCAAGCAGAACACAGAAAGACGAAGCATGGAAGGACATGAAATACTGAAATATGTATTGAGTGTCTAGCTTCCAAGAAATTGCAGAAATGTCTCTTATGGTCTATTAGACGATATGGACTCCAAACTCAAGGCAGGGACTGTGGAGATGAAGCAGCTGAATGGATCAGTACTTTCCTGAATGTAGAGCCTTATCGGTTGATCCATTATGAGACAAATATGGTGACAAGAAAGCCAGGAGATTTCTTGCCCGCTTTTCTACCAAAAGATGAGGTAAGAATACCTCAAAAATATATTTTTAATATTTGCATTAGTTTTAAACTCCATAACTTTTTGTATCAAAGAATACTTCTATAGTAATGGCTGAAATGCCTCAGCTCCTCTTCTCCCCCTCCTCCCTCCTTCTCCTCTTCCTCCTTCTCCAGTAATTCAAGGTTGCTTACATACAAGCTTCTGTGAGACAGATTGGGTTGAGACTGGATGGCTCAAAGTCGTCCAATAATTTTCTGAGACTGACATCAACCTTGATCTCCCAGTCCTATTCTAATCCCTATAGTACAGTGGGTCTCAACCTTCCTAATGCTGCGACCCTTTAATACAGTTCCTCATGTTGTGGTGACCCCCAACCATAAAATTATTCCTAAAACCATTGAAAATATGTGTTTTCCGATGGTCTTAGGCGACCCCTGTGAAAGGGTTGTTCGACCCCCAAATGGGTCCTGACCCACAGGTTGAGAACCACTGCTATAGTATATGGTATCCTTAGAATTATGTTCCACTGAAATAATTATGATTTGTATTTAGCTAAATGTATTGGGATTATTAAATAGTATGGAAGTTTCAGTGTATTTTGTCAACTTCCTGGAAATGTATGATAATGCTGTGACTTCCAGAATGCTTGCTCTGGGATCAGAATAAATCATATAACCATTTTATGTACACCTCTTTCTTTATGGTATTACAAAAAACATGTATAATCAGAGAAAAAGTTATATCTGCAGAATTTGTATCATCTTTGTGCCAAAAACTGTAATCAAGGAGGAGAAATGGAACCAAGATTGTTCCTCTTCATTGTCCCTGTTTATTGAGGCTTCTTAATAAATATTGTATATCTTTTAACTATTTTCTTCAGCATATGTTGAATAACTCGGGAATTAATTCACTGAATTATCATGCCTGTTGCTAACAGAATAGATTCTTATATATTTGAGTTTTTAATAAGTTTAAATGATTAGTTAAGCACTGAATGTATAAAGATAAGCCACAGAAATTAAATGATTCATATTATTCTTAGTAATTGGAAGAAAATGTCTTGTTTTAATATAAAACGCTTCATTGAGATTTCATTTTAAAGTTGCAAAGTCTGGAGGAATTTATCTTACCCTCACATTATTCCATACTAAGCAACAGCCAAAATATAGGGTTTTAAAAAGATATCGTTTTAATTTATTTCACTATGATGGTAAACATGTTTTACTAATTCAGCCAGGAAGATTGTATAGCAAAGGGATTATTTTCATGGTGAAGAATGATTGAAGAATTGATATGAATTGCAACATTGAAAGCAGAAGAAAAAAAAAGCCATTTAACATCCTTTTGATTTTAAGCTCATAATTTTCATTTCTACTTTAAATACACCTAGTTGATAACCATGATTAGAAAAGATCTTTAGTTATTTCCCTTTGCACACATTTTTTAAACTTTTAATAATAAATGGATAGTATTTTACTACTAAATACATATGTAAATACATAAATAAAGATCACTTCATAAGATTTGACTTCATGTATGTTGCATGCTATGATTTATTATTTAGCAATTTGTGTGAAATCTACCAGTTAGGATTACAGTATTCAACCAATCATAATTAAATATATCATGGCTTAATGCAATCTATGAATGTTCACAATCAAAATATGAAATAGATACCGTATTTTCCGGCGTATAAGACGACTTTTTAACACATGAAAATCTTCTCAAAAGTCGGGGGTAGTCTTATACGCCGGGTGTCGTTCTCCTGTAACCAGCCAGACCAGCCTGAAAGGCTCTGTCGAGCCTTAAATGGCTCTGGCGATCCCAGCTCTGACGATCCCAGCTCTGACAATCCCAGCTGAGTTCCCTGCAACTCAGCTGGGATCGCCAGAAACCATGGCTCTGACGGTCCCAGCTCTGACGGTCGATCCCATCCCAGCTGAGTTCCCTGCAACTCAGCTGGGATCGCCAGAAACCACGTAAAAGGAAAAAAGTTTTTTTTACCTTTTACTCTGAGGATCCCAGCTCTGACGATCCCAGCTGAGTTCTCTGCAACTCAGCTGGGATCGCCAGAAACCACGTAAAAGGAAAAAAGTTTTTTCCCTTTTACTCTGATGATCCCAGCTCTGACGATCCCAGCTGAGTTCTCTGCAACTCAGCTGGGATCGCCAGAAACCACGTAAAAGGAAAAAAGTTTTTTCCCTTTTACTCTGAGGATCCCAGCTCTGACGATCCCAGCTGAGTTCCCTGCAACTCAGCTGGGATGGCCAGAGCCATGTAAAAGGGAAAAAGTTTTCCCCCTCCAGCTTGCTTACCTCAGCTGCTAGTCGCAACGCTTGCCTTGCTTTGCTTGCCTGAATCTATTCAGGCAAGCAAGCAACTCCCTGCCTGCAATCAAGCAAGGAGGGAGTTGTGGACTTCAACTCCCAGAATTCCTCAGCCAGCAAAGCAAAGCTGGCTGAGGAATTCTGGGAGTTGAAGTCTACAAGTCTTAAAGTTGCCAAGGTTGGAGACCCCTGTTCTATTGGGTAAGTTTTTTTCCCCTTTGGGAGTTAAAAAAAATAGTCAATTGGGGTTTTTTTAGTTGTTCTTTTTTAGACCTAGCCATTTAAAGTTTAGGAAGTTTTAAATTTAGCTTTCATATAAAAATAAAAATAAAATAAAATAAAATAATATTTGTGCAGCTTTCTGAGATTTAGTGTGTTTCTGTAGTGTTTCACTCCAACTACACAAACACACAAAATCTCACAAAGCTGTATGTGGAATTTTGTGTGTGTAAAGTGTGAAAGTTGGTTTTTTGGACTTTTTGTGGCTGTGTGAGGTTCCTGCTTGTTGCAGGGGCCATTTTGGGTCTAGCACAGCTGCTTTTACATTGTAGGTGAGCCAGTTGATGTTTTTTAATTTTTATTTGGTGTGCATTGGAAGAGGGGCAGTCTTATATGGTGAGTATAGCCCAAACCCTATATTTTAACAGGAAAAGTTGGGGGTCGTCTTATACGCCCAGTCGTCTTATACGCCGGAAAATACGGTATGTCTTGTTTTAATTAAAAGCATTTTCTGAAATTAAAGTGTAGTTTTATTAAATTGCAGTAAGCTTTTTGGAATGAAATGGTCACAACTGAAGATTGCATTTTGTTATGTCAACCAATGGTGGCACTTTGAGACTAATCCCAATCTTTATGATTATCAATGGTAGACATTTTTTGTATTTGTTTTAAAAGGTTGCATATGCTGAAGCCAGTCCACTCTTGCTGATTTCTGAAGCTTCCTTGGATGATCTAAATACAAGGTTAGAAAAGAAAGCTTCAATAACTATCTTCCGGCCGAATATTGTTATTAAAGGCTGTAGTCCTTATGAAGAAGTAAGTATTATTATTATTTTATTCTATTTATTTGTATCCCATCTTTATTATTTTTATAAACAAAGTGGTGATCATATCCAACACACTTCCTCCTCCTATTTTATTGACAACAACAGCTCTGTAAAATGGATTGTGCTGAGACAAAATGACTGGTCCAAAGCACCTCCCTGGCTTTCATGGCTAAGGCAGGATTTGAACTCACAGTCTCCGGCTTTCGAGCCCACTGTCATAACTACTAGATCAAACTTGCTCTTACAGGTCTATCTTAACTGGGTGTTTGAATTGCTATTTTTCTCCATCTGATTTCTAATTTATGTGATTGCAGACATGTCTCAAAAGAGTTTTATTGAGATGTTAAACCTAATTAATAGCTTTTTAAATATGATCTTGTGAGAATATTGGTTTAAAAAGAAAACTGTACAGAAATGTTGCTCTATAACTGATACATATTATTGGAAAATAGTCAAATAATGCAATTGCAAAGTATCTAATAGGACTCAATTTCTTTGATATAGGATTCTTGGGTTGATATATTAATTGGAACTGTTAAGTTGAAAGGAAAAATGTCATGTCCAAGGTAAGAGAGTTTAATGATGGTATTTTGATCTCATGTTCCAAAACACTAAAAATAATTTCATTTTTAGAGACATTCCTATTATTAAATGAAATTAAAATGTGACAACATCTATGTCTGTAGGTGCATTTTCACAGCAGTGGATCCAGATACTGGGATCATAGGTGAAAAGGAGGCCCTAAAAGCCCTGAAAAGGTAGCAGATAATGTTTATGAATGCTCCTTCTTTAGATGTTTGGATGTCTCTGTACCAGTTCACAATGTTACTCAGCATAAAGTAGCAATTTACAAACAGAAACCTGCACCACATATATGATAAGGAACGTTCTTACTGTTTTAACATCTTCAAATACCTTAGCAATTTAAGCTCTCTTTCCAATAAATCTTTTGTAGCTCACACATACAATGTTAGGCAGACAGATTCACATGGTATACATTTAAATCAGTTAATCTGTCAAGATCCAATTTTTCATAGGTCAATTAAATTAGTTTCTTCAAAGCAATTCCCCATTCATTATAATTTGAAATACTTTATTCTATTAATTAACTGAAACCACTTAAGGTTTTTTTCTTCATTTCCTTTACTACCGTAGTTCCTTGTCGTCTTCTCTTTCTGATTTTGAAGCGGGCTTCTGCATCTATTAGACTTATAATTCTGAAACAGCTGAGCAGGCAGTTAAAGTTCCAATATTTCTAATAATTTATGCAAAATTGTAAATCCAGTTTTATTTAGAGAAACTAAGTAATTGCTTCCTCTGTGCAATGTCTCTAGCTTAATTCCGTTTTAAATGGCTATGACACTAATGCCTCTGTAAACCATGACAGAATATGTTGCATGAAAACATTCCATTCTAATAGATGATTGTGCTATCATAATCACTGTTGATAAATATCTATTATCTCCAGTACTGCAAAATTGAAGTTCACTATTCATCTATATCCTGGAATGTATAGGATCTATTTTATTCCAAAATAATTTCTAATTCTGTTTTTCCATTTCTTTTCTTTATTTTCAGTTATTGCAAGTGTGATCCTTCTGAAGAACATGACTATAAATCTAATCCTCCTTTTGGATGGCTATATGGAGTTGAGGAAACGGGTGTACTTGAAGTTGGGGATTCTGTGTACAAGATAATCTCATGATGGGTGGCACCTGTGCAGTGGAGTGTAATTTCTCTGTATATGGATTCTGTACTCATTTCTTAAGATCATTTTTTTTTCTTCCTTCTTATTCAGGTACTTATCCATTGTAGGCAGTTGCATGTGGTCACTAAGGGTCATCACCAGTTTGTTGGCAAATCATTACTGTCATCATGACTGAGAATCTACATCAACACAGCATCATTGCAATTGAAACAAATTTGAATGAAGGGCAAACTGAATGAATAACAAATAAGAGTTAGAACATTTTTCAGTCAGTATTCTTAATGCAATACAGGTGTGGTCGTGTTTTGCTGACTGAAGACTATTGAGGTGGTGATAGTGAAAGTAAAACTTTCCATATTAGAATACAGTGCTATTTTTAGAAACATGGATGAAATGGATGTATATCTATTTCTGGGATATCCTTGGGTTTACTTATTTCCCAAAAAAGCTAAATATAAGGATATAATGAAAGTATGTGGTATTTTATTGTATAGCCAAGACAAGTGAAAATCCTTTTCACTGACCATTTGTAAAAACAAGTATACAGATGTTGAGCTGCCTAGAATTAACATCAGTAAATTTGAAAACTCTTTACTAGAGGAATTTCCATAAATCTGAAGTGATTTATGTCTGATTTTTTTAAAATCTCAAAAACCTGGCATTTTAACAGGTGTGTGCAGACTTTATATACTGTACGTCTATGTTACTATGATTAAACTTGTAGCTATCCCTGTAAGCCGCCTTGAGTCGCCATATGCAAATAGGCGGCAATATAATTTTTCTAATACATAAATATGGAAATTTTACAAACAGTGCTATTAGATCAAGCTTTATTGGATTTTATTTTTTTAAAGGTATATTTTGTCCCAGAAAGATTAAAAAAACTAAAGCTAGACATTGAAAAATCATAAATAAACTGGTTAATTTCTGTAAATTAACTACTAAAAAATATGGTCATGGAGATATTTCACATTTACAAAATCCTTAAGCAATGCTTCATGTATAATTATGCAAAGTGAAGAGTACCTTTATGGATGCAATCTATATATATATATAAACGCGAAAACCACTCACGCTGTAATCACAAAATCTCCAGAACCATAAAGCCTACAAACTTGAAATTTGCCATTATGTTCCTCTTGGCTTCTAGGTGCTCACTAAGAAAGGATTTTTTGAAATGACCATCAGAGCATTAGTATTTCCTATATTGTTGTGGATTTAATAAGACCAACACAACTTTTCAGGGTTAGCCAGAGACATTGTATATTGCGCAATAGGTTCAAAGCTCTGTACATGAAGTGTTGAACAAAGACAGAAATTAGCTACAATGGTTTTTATACCCTTCTAGACAAAGGATTCTGTTAACTCAGCAGTTTATGTGATCATATACATTTGTCATATTTAATTGACACTTCCTAATTACTGTTTCATTTTATTCTTTGCCAACAGTCATAATTCTTCTTGTAAATTACTGAAGCATAGATTCAAATTATCTCTTGTTAATATTACATGTGGTCATACTTGATCTCTTTAACCTTCATACTGTATATCACCAAATGTCTCTTATCTCTGACAACTGAGGGGCCCTTCTCTGAATGTTTCTACTTCAAAGGAATTCTCTCCTTTCAACTGGAGATAATTGGCTTCCCTCAAACAAGCACATTTCCTTTCTTACAAATAAAGAGGGTCCTTCAGTGATCATCCAGCTGGATCCGCTTACCTACCTACATTAATATTATGATTAACATGCCCTGATGCTAAGGAGTTCTACTCCCCCTCCCCACCTGAAATCTGTTCCAAATGCAAAACACAAGCAGAGGACAGGAGTTTTACTTTCAGTTTTACTTTAACAGCAGGAAGCACCTTTAATACAGAACACTTGAGCTAAGCCATGGCCAGGCTCCTTCCTGTCTCCTTGCTCTCCCAGCAAATACTGTTTCACTTTCCAAACAGCCCCCTGATGCTAACAAGTTCTACTCCCCCTCCCCATCTGAAAAGAAATCTGTTGCAAGCTCTGATACTAAGGAGTTCTTCTCCCACTCCCCACCTGAAAAGTAATCTGTTTCAAATGCAAAACACAAGCAGAAGACAGGAGTTTCACTTTCAGTTTTACTTTCACAGCAGCAACCAGGGGATAGGACAGGGGAGGCTTCTGTGGGGCAAGGCTGAGGGAGAGAAGGTGATAGGATAGGGAGGCTTCTGTGGGGCAAGGCTGAGGAGAGAAAGAGATGGGATAGGGGAGGCTTCTGTGGGGCAAGGTGAGGGAGAGAAGGTGATAGGATAGGGGAGGCTTCTGTGGGGCAAGGCGGAGAGAGGAGAAGGGATAGGATAGGGGAGGCTTCTGTGGGGCAAGGCTGAGGGAGAGAAGGTGATAGGATAGGGGAGGCTTCTGTGGGGCAAGGCTGAGGGAGAGGATAGGATAGGGGAGGCTTCTGTGGGGCAAGGCTGAGGGAGAGAAGGGGATAGGATAGGAGACGTTTCTGTGGGGTAAGTCTGAGGGAGAGGCCAATCATAACTACTCATTAATTTTCAAGCTGTAAGTGTTGATTTATCAAGCCCGATCACATAGTTTCATAGCAAAGCAGAGGTATTCAGCTAATAAATAAATAAATTCCAAGCACTTTTACTCAAGCTCATGTTTGTTAAATCTTTGTCCATTAAGAAATATAGAAGATTTTGCTGCCTCCCAAAATGTGAAGCCCTCAGAGTTGGTCCTGTGGGCTTCCCTAAAGATACCAGTGCTAGCATGAAATGCATCTAACTCAAACATTGCAGCATCAGTTGGGAAGCTGCCTTTGGTGCTTGAATCAAGAAAGATGTCTTCACTTCCTGCTAAATTGATCTGTAAAAAGAGTTCTGGTGAAAATTCAGCAATCACAGAATGAGGACAGATTTCTAGTAACCAGTACAAAAACCTTTCGATGAACGCTATCCTTCACAGAAAAAGAAAATAGAAAAAATGGCTTCTGACTTTGCTTGATGCAGATACAAGTAAAAATATTTAATTTATGACTTATTAATTTATGGAAAATTCTATTTTTGATTTTTTAAAAACGTACTGATCATTGCAGATAGATTTCATTTATACAGAGTGGTAATATTGCCACCTTGTGGCAAAGTGTGTAAAAAGCATCTTTGAAATATTGAAATATTCTACTTTTCAATTAATAGAAATGGAATAGAAGTGAATGAATAGAAATCTAATCAAGCACAGGAACACTGGGCTGAGGGTTGGGTGGGAAGGAACATGGGAGGTACTGATGCATTTTGTTAATTTTTTTTTTTGTATTGTAATCCATAACCATGTGGAAACATGGTACACCTCAATATCTTAATTGCTGCCAGGAGGTTTAGTTGCATTAAGTCTTTAAGAAGCTTTAAGAATAAGAAACCATTTACAAATATTATGTTATTGTGCAAGTATGGAGACTTCTGGTGTTCTATATGTCTGTATCATAAGCAATTGTAGGCAAATCTGCCTTTGTGTCCCCTCCCCACTCCTCATTTTTGTTAGGATACCTGGAACAAGATTATAATTTGTGGTTTTAAAATAAGTGGTGGCAAGTGGCAGGTAAATTTGGGACGGGAAGGAGAATAACAATTCCTTACTTGTTCAGGGGCCTCTGTGGAAGTGCAATTAAAGCCACACACCTGGTTTTCATGTGCCATGCAGGGCTTTGTATGCTTGAGATGTCCTCTTGACTTTTTATAAGTACCCCTTCCCCCAGATGTTCCTGTGGTTAATCATATTTCCTGCAAAATATTTCTTTACAACTTCAGGTACATGCTGATAAGCATTGACCCAAATAATATTGACCCTAGATAATAAAAAGGACCATTGGAACTTTTAAAAAATGAAATGACACTTTTTAAACCACTTCTATGCCAAAAATAGCGTGAATCTATGGGATTCTGCATCAGAAACTATGATTACAGTTCTTTCCATGCTTACTTAAAAGTGTAGGGTTTCCACAACTGTGGCTGGAGTTTCTGCAGTGCCTAACCAATCACTAGGCATTCATCTCTGAGAATTGCTAGACGTGATTTTGTTTAACTATGTAATTTGGTTACTTCTTGGTCTTAGCTGGTTTGCAGTAGGACAAAATGTTTTATAGTCGGGCCTGCAAAGTGAAGTGGTAGCCTTTGTAGATTGGACATTATTTGGTTGAGGGTTTGGACACACTAAATGGGCAGCTACAATGCTAATGTTTTCCCAGAAAGTATCTATACCATCCAGATAAACTCAGGAAGGAGTCTTATTCTTTGGAAGTGGCAGAATACTAGTTTAAGGTGACATTTGTTTCAGAGTTGATGTTGGATTGTCCCTGCTTGTGCTTGTGCTTGTGCTGAATCCTAATAAAGAAGGTTGGTAGAGAAGTTGTTGTGTCAAAGCTGGGAAGCTACCAGAACGGAGGGGGATGAGCTTTAAAGTATGATTTTCTTATGTTAAGCCAACAGCAGCACATTATGTCTTCAAGGTATGAAGAATCTGTATTGCTTGGAGATGCATTATCTTGGAGGTGAAGTCAATTGACCTGTTATGGGATGGAATCAAAGGTATTGGATAGCACAGGCATGTTGGACAACCACTAGATGGCAGCAAAGATATAGAAAGCTACAGTAGAACCTCTGGTCACAATGCTTCTGACCACGACCAAATTGTGTTCCAACCAAAAAATTCACAATTTTTTTTTCGCGGCCGATTTCCCCTTCCACGCCATTTTTTTTGTAAGTGCCAAATTTCCAAAATTAGGTTCGGGTCACAACCAAATCCGATTGCGACCAAAGTTATGGGACAAATTATTGTTGTGACCAGAGGTTCTACTGTATACTGTAATACTTTGCGGCTATCTAGTGATCAGTGGCATTTTTTTGCCATCTGCCCATCCTTTTTGGAAGAGCTGATTTGGTGTATAGATTGTCCTTGCTTTCCAATTGCCTTGTTTAGCAACCATTAAAAGTTACAACGAAGGAAACCAAATCAGCCCCTCCCCCAGCTTTGTGACTAATCTTCTCATTTATGATGATTCTAGCATCCCATGGTCATGTGATCATCATTTCCATGCTTCCCAACTGGCTTGTGCAGAGTTAATGCAAAATGTCGAAGTCAAATTGCAAGGTTGTGGTCATGTGATGCCTTGCTTAACAATCACGCTGACGTGCTTAATGATTGAATGAAAGTGACATAAGTTCATTGTGGTCATATTATTTTATGCTTAGTGAGTGCAGTGCCGAGTGATGAAGTTGCCAGTCCCAATTGTGGTTGTTAAGGGAGGACTACCTGTGATGGTTAAAGGTGCTGGATTAGAAACCAGGAGTCCATGAGTTTTAATCCTGTTTTAAGCATGAACTGGGTGACTTTGAGCCAGTTGCTCTCTCTCTCTCAGTTTAGGAAACAAGTGGCAATTTTCACTTCAGAAAAAGGTCACTAAGAAAACAACATGGACTTGTTCCTGTAATAATCCAGACATCAGTATTAACTTGAAGGACCATATCGATAACAACAACAAATAAATGTTTGTTTATAATCTAAGCAAATGCTTGCTCAGATTATGGATAACGGAACTTTTTCTTGGATAGCCAAGAAAGTTCAAGGGCTGCTGTTATGCTGGATTTACGGTACATTTATTACTTACAACATTGCCAAGTGATGAACAGCATTCTTAGCAAAGTGGAATATCAATAGCCCTTTTCAGCATAATAATAGGAAAGCGAACAAGTTCCCATCTCTGATTAAAAATAACTATTTATGGAATAATTCATTACATTTCCATATTTCTCTACAGTAGGACTTAAGAATCAGCATGTCTTATCAATTAATTCAGTAAACGTTTGTGTATGTTTTAAAATCTATGTTTTTTCTAGTGGATTAATTGAATAAGCAGTGTAAAAGAATACATTAAATATAGTTGTAACAGCAAGTGGTAGCTTTGTTTATTCTACTGCAAGTTAATTTACTCTTCTTTTCACCAACTCAAGAAGGCAGTGGTATCAGAGTTTTGGTAATATACAGATCTATTTAGTTTTATTAGTTACTTAATCAACAGTTTTAAAATCCCATTAAGCAACTAATAACTCTTTGATTGCTTGACAAGTCTAACGATAACACAGAAGATCCCACAAGCTCCCTTCTTGTCATCTGTTCTCTAACATTAGAGCATCCATCCTCATTTTGTGTAATAAAGTTTGAGGATCTTAACAGAGCAGAGTCAATGTCCAGGTTTTTACAGAGCCTTTAAGCCATTATAAATGTAAACTTTTCAGGGGGGGCACCATAAATTTGGGTGGAGTCTTCCATAACCATCCCAATAGCTCTTCTGGCAAATGCAGAGTGCTTTCCATGCCTGTGTGGGAAGAGTTTAGCACGACAGGATACTAAATCTCAGCTGGGTAAATGGTCAAAAGAAAATAATTCTTCTACTACTCTATCTCCAAGATGTCCAAATAGCAAAAAATATTCCGACCCCTACAACCTCATCACTTATTTGACAACAGTGTTGCTGCCACGAAAATAAATTAAAATGTAGCCAAGATAATTTAAGAGCATTTTTATTGCTTTCTGCTCTAATTCTACCCACCCAGGAGAGTCAAATCAGACACTACCTTTAAAAAGTTTGATTTTAGTTTACCATGTTGTATGAATCTAGCCATTTTGATATCTAAACCTAAATATGGCTTAGTATATTTGTAAATTCAGGCAGATATGACTTGCACAAATACTGTAGTTAAACAAACTATTGATAAACAGATTAGATGAACTATTAGAACCAACACATTGCTTTCTCCTTGTATCTCTGTGAGTTTCTCAGTCTCAAAAACATTTACTAGGTCTAATCTGTTTGGATCAATGTACAGCTAACTTGAAGTCTCTGAACCCAACAATTAATCAGTGGAACAACTTGCCTCCAGAAGTAGTGAATGCTCCAACGCTGGAAGTTTTTAAAAAGATATTGGATAACCATTTGTTTGAAGGGGTGTAGGGTTTCCTGCCTAGGCAGGGGTTGGACTAGAAGACCTCCAAGGTCCCTTCCAATTCTGTTATTCTGTATTCTGTAACACAATTTTTTATTATTTTCCTTTGATATCTAAAGCATTATTGAGCTGGTTGAGATCATGATGTGGTTCATATTTGCAACTTGCTTGCTTGCTTAACTATGGATTATTGAATAAATTACAATTGG